ATTAAGTATTTTTTGTCTTTACAGTATAATTTTCAAGCATAGCACGAACAAAGCTCTTTGTCTTAAGTTACACACCTGTGAACTTGGAAAAACACAAGAAATCAATTTTCGACGCCATTTTCACTGCTTATATCCACAGTGGCAATGTGTCAAATCCCCGTTTTCTTAATTCTGCGTCAAAATTAATAACATATAATCTAATTTCCTAAAATATATCTCAAAACACACACAAGGCTTACCTGTATCTCCGATAATAATATATTTAAATAGATATGCGTATGACATTGTGAATGTTTTGGGAATGCTACAGATCTTCAACGCAAAGTTTCTCCTGTGGATGACGTCACTTAACACTATCACGCATGCTCAATAGCTTACGGAAGTGATTTGGCTGCGCGTGACTGCTGGTGACTGATAATGCATAAAGTCCAGTATAAACAATAAACAATATACGGGCAATAATTACGACTGGAAGTTTTAAACGATACATGAATGAGCTTCCACTGACATACTAGTATACCTAAAAAATGTTGACTCTAGAAGGAAAAGATTGAAGAAAATTAATACGTTGCAGCAACTTACAATGTAATTGCTCTGAAATCGAGGAGGAGGAGGGGGGGGGGGGGCATATACAGTATACTGAAAATGTTTGATACATACTGTACTTGTAGTATCAATATGGCCCGAAGTTTCGATAGTCCGAATTAGTGCATGAATAACGTGTACTGGCAATAGACATTAAAAGTTCAGCTGAGGCGCGTGCATACGTTTTTTGGACCAATAAACCTAGCTTCGGAGACATCCCCGTTGAGCAGTATATACATGTATTCTATAGTAAACCAGTGGCTTAAATTATGTCCATACTGGGAGATAATACCGATATCTCAGGAACAGATGGTACAGGGAATATAATTTACTTATAATCATCGTGAAATCCAATTTACGCGAAATAGCTAAAATTCAGGACCAAAATTAATTGAGTTAACTTCGTCACATGCAGATCTTTGATGATTATAAAGGGCCATCCATCTTAAGTTATCGTACATGAATGAAAGTCTACAAACGATACGTTTTTATTTATTTATTTATTTATTTATTTATTATTATTATTATTTTTTTTGGGGGGGGGAGGTTATATATATATATTGCCTTTCAACTTGTACGCTCTGAATGGGAAACTTGAAGTAGGGGGATCTAGCAAAAGCCAAGTCTTTGTACAGTTGTGAAAATGATGATAAAAATAGATGACCTTCACTCATTTCAAAGTAATATATATAATCAAATTCATCTCTTTTCCGTGAAATAAAAACTTGGAACAGCCCGCACGTACTGAATGAACTTTCGCAATGCCCGTCTCAACTAATGCATTGCTCTTACAGAGCCAAGAGAGATTTACTGCTATTATTTTAGCAAATGTATTGCTAATTATTCATCTTTAATATTAACATTTAAGTAAAGAAAGATTTATACAAATCATTCAAATCACACAAAAAGTAGATTTTGGAAGTATTTAAACTAAAGTGCCTTTTACTAACCGTAACATATGTACAAAACTATTTGCAAAGCGGACAGATTGCTCAGTTTGACCAGATCGATGTTTTGATCTTTCCTGTCAAAAATCCGGTAGGGTTTTCAAGCTTCAGTATTGTCATGTGAGAAGAAGTATTCTGAGGCAGTAAACTAAACGCAAGTCATCTTGCGATACGCCTGCTAGTCAATAACCAGGTACAGTTTCAGTATTGTGAAGTTAGCGTTAAGTAAGTGAGCCAGTCCTCCGACCTTGTCGAGAGTCTGGTACATCTCGACTCGTGATCCAAATGTAAAATAGCCGTAAGCGCATCACACCTTTACTTAGGTGATTTTACTACGTTAATTGATTGAATTTTTGCTATACAGTTACTTTGTTACAGGTATTTATTGACTTATTTTTGAACAATGAAATCAACATCACAGACGCCCATTTATAATTATTATTTTAATGTATACATTTGTATATAGCGTGTGCATCACCCAAATAATTTTTTGTAAACACCGAAATTAATTCATTGTATATCTGGACTCTTGCCTCAGTTACTCTTTTCAAGCTGAGAAGCTAGTTTTAAGTTTCAGATTTACAAGGTAAATGAAAGT